AGTGGGGTTAAGTGTCTTGCCCAGGGACACGACGACAGCAGCCATCAGTGGGAGTAGATGACATGGGTCGTGGGGGATCGAACCCACCAGGTCGGTTGGTAGATCTTCCAACTGAGCCACTGTCGCCCCTCTATCTATCTATCTATCTATCTATCTATCTATCTATCTATCTATCTATCTATCTATATCTATATCTATATCTATCTATCTATCTATCTATCTATCTATCTATATCTATATCTATCTATCTATCTATCTATCTATATCTATATCTATCTATCTATCTATCTATCTATCTATATCTATATCTATCTATCTATCTATCTATCTATCTATCTATCTATATCTATCTATCCACCCATCTATGTATCTATCTACAGTATCTATCTATCTATCTGTCTGTCTATCTATCTATTGTCTATGTAACAATCTATCATCCATCTGTCTACATGGTCTGTTAGTGTAAAACCACAGCTACCACTTTGTTTGGAAGAATTACAACATAATATTGTAAAATAGCACACCTCGACCTTTTCGAGCTCGTAACATTTGGTCTTCAAAAGCAAAAGGAGTTGCATGTGTCGTCCAGGTTTCATTTCTAAGTATTCAATAGATGTTTACCGGCCTCAGAGAGATAAGAATGCACTCTTGTTTACCTCATCATTTCTATTGGTGCTTTTTGGAATGTCTCCTCTTTGTTTTCACAGTCATTCGAGTTGCCTTCAATACGACTCAAAATCATTACAATTGAAAGAAAGAAACAAATCAATTATTTTAAAAACATGTTGTGAAAAGCCCCTGGATTGACAGTGCTGCTGATGGACGTACGCTCAGTTCACTAGAGAAGGAATTTTGGGAGCAATGACATCTGGATTATACATTACTCACCCATGAGAAACCAGACTGCAGAACGGGAGAAACCATTATGGAGGAGGTAGGGTCACATTTGCATAATCCTGGGAGTCACTTTATTTTTGGCTTTTATACATTATGACCAAACAAAGGAAACTACTGTATATGTACGTAATTATTATATTATATGTATAGGTTTGGATATTCTTGGGTTTCATCTGACGTCAGGGCAGTGGCGCGAATAACAAACGTAGGACAGGACGTGACGTACTCTGGCGGTAAATATTTTGATTTATTTACAAAATATTGTAAAAAATATAATCTTGTGTTTGGATGTTGAGTTTGTTTTCGGTCTGATTTGAGACTTTGGGATTCAGTTTAATTCAATACAATTTTTTTTTTTTTGCGTAGCCCTAAATCACAGCAGTAGGTACTGTATCTCTAAGGACTATACAAAACGGCCAAACTCGCCAACACAGAATCAGAGAATCAAATCTTATCATTTACTCCTTGATTCTCTGATCTGTGTTGGAGAATTTTGCAGTTTTGCTATGTCCTCTTAGAAAAATATTGTTGTAACTTGGTCCTATACAAGAAAAAATTGATTTGATTAATAAAAAACGCTTCCAAACATTGATAAAGGCCATAAATATCGTTGAATGTCGACCTGCATTGGCCCCTGGTGTTCTGCTTTCACATGGTCCCACATCCTCACTACCATGTGTGGGCAGTGCCATTCTCTCTCCTCTCCCCGTGTCTGCATGGCGTCTGTGTGGTTCTCAGTGTACGTCCACATCTGGATCTCATCCCTGTGGCCGCTCCATGCCGCACCAAAACAAGGAACAGCTGTGCACGGCTGGCTTCAATTAGCCTCACATTCTCCCTGACAGCTAATCCCTTTCTGTTTTCCCCTTTCTCAACTGCTCAGAACTTTTTTTTTTTTTTCTCTTTTTCTCTTTTCCTTTCTTTTTCAACTTTGTCTTAAGGTTTGCCGCGATGTCTAAAGTCATCATCTTGGGAACACAGGGCTGAATTGGAAGCAGACAGGAGGCCAGAGAGAGCACAAAGTCCATACACTGCAAAAAAATGATCAAATATGACGTCATAATTGCTTGTAACGAGTAGTTTTATCTTAATTTCAATTCATTCTTTCTGACTGTATTAAAACGAAATTTCGACTTGATTTAAGAACTATTGCTTTATTATCTCATTCCAAGGGAGAAATGTCTTGTATCTTTTTAAAATAAGATCATTTTTCTTGCTCCACTGGTAAATCTTGTTTTAAGGCAGTCAAAAAGTGCTCAAATTAAGATGCAAACAGCCAAATTTCAGCATTATTTGACTTTAATCCCATTATTTTTTGCAGTGTAAACACCAAGGCGTTGTTTGATGAGAGGTTTGGGATTGGACTCTAGACTTCAAGAAACTCCGTAAGCGTTTGCAGACGAGGAATCTTGTGTTTTCACTTCTGAACCATACGTTACCTTTTGAATTTGTCTAAATCTGGACAAATCTTTGCTTGATGTTATGACACAGGCGATAGTCCTTGTCATAAATTACCGAGACTGAGAATGGTCAGCACCTGGTTTTAACTACGGGGAAATGGCTCCGAGATTTCCATTGGCTAATTACTGCCGTGATGAATGTGCTTCGTGTGGCCGTGAGATATTTAAGCCTCAATGTTAACACTGAGTAGCTTCTTGTTCCCTTAAACGCCATGTCACAAACAGGGACAGCCATCGGAATCATTTTGCAGTTGCTTAAATGTAGTATGGATAACAGAAGGCACATTTTTTTTGTCTGCCTTCTCCTTTCTAAATGTACGTCTAGAAAAAATACATTGTAAAACTGCTCAAATAAAACTACTACTACTACTGCTACTGCAAAGATAACAGTACTACTCTTCATTACATGTTTAAAGCTGGGGTACATCATTTTCAAATCACAAATGAAAAGATAAGACTCAAGATATATTATGTACAAATTCAATTAAGGTGACTATAGATAGACTTAAGATTGAACAAAATAGTATCATTCATCAAAACACTAGGACCTTGCTCTTGAAACAGTTCTACCCAACGGTTTTATCTCAATGTTTTATCTCGGTTCCATCTCAAATACTTACCCTCTGCTCTGGCAGTTTAAGGCATGAGTAGACGAAAGTGGCTCCAGAACAACTACTTGTGAGGCTTGGGAAAAGGTTTATTACACTGAAAAAAAAAGATAAAATATGAGGTGATAAATGCTTGAATCCAGTGGTGTTTATGTAGCCTGACTCTCGCCAAACCCTGTAGTTCCCCCATGCTCCACCAGAGGCGTTTCGCTGAACACAAGGGTCTGGGATTGAGGGCATTGCAAACTCTTTCAGGAGATCAAAAAATAATCAGCCAATCAGGATCACCGGGTTTGTACCGCAGTCTCGTGCGTTTCAGCCAAATCAAACCAAGATGGCGGACATAAAGTCTGTGAATTAAAAACCAAATGTTCAAACACGAACAAATTTAGACACGGATGTCACTTTTACTGCAATTTGAGGCGAGATGTTGATGGTTCTATGTTGTTATATGTGTGTTTTAGAGTAAAATGCTTCTGTAAAGTTTGGTTTAATTACTGGTTTACTGTAAAGCTGCACTAACTAACTTTATTTTTGTATTAATTACGAAAATGCTATCCATGTCCATGCAGTGCATCGGGATAAACGTCCTTCTGAAGAAACAGTAGCGCAGATTTGTGCTGGTGTGACATTATATTTTAGATCGAGTTTTGATGAAACAAGGAAGAGAATGTTTTTTGGGACCAGATTGTGACCAATCACAGGTTACTGCTTACTCGGCGAAACAGCCAAAAGAAAGTCCCGTTCCTCTGCGCTTCCCGGTTCTATCGTTCTAAGGTCACGCCATCCACGTGCAAATCCATATCCATTTATTATCCATATTGGGAGACGCTAGCTCCGTCAACAACAGTGGGTGAGGGGAGGGGAGCCGAAAGTGAGAGGCCAGCGAGTCCGCTGCTTCAAAATCCCAAAGTCAGTTAGTGCAGCTTTAAGTGCTCCTGTCACAACACTACGCAGCAGGGTTGCCAGGCTGGGTGGTTTCCCGCATACTTTTTTTCCCAAGCGACTCCAAATTCCCCACAAATGTAAAATTTCCATCCATCCATCCATTTTCTACCCTTTAATCCATTTCTGAGTCAGGGGGGTGGCAGTCAGAGATGCCACCCAAGTCTCATAGCACCAGCCCCTCACTGACCCTCTGCAGGTGGTGAGTCCACAGGAGGACGGCTGCTCTCTGAGTGTGAGCATAGCCTTGATCTTTCAGTGGGGGCTTTGGGCAAAGTGGGGTTAAGTGTCTTGCCCAAGGACACAACGACAGCAGTCATCAGTGGGAGTCGGTGGAGAAGGTGCAGAGGTGGGAATGAACCCACGACCTTCTGGCCTTAAGGCCAATGCTCTACCAACTGAGCTACTGTCGCCCCTGTAAAATTTCCACCAGTTTTTAACTATTTTGTTTCCCTTAACTTTAAGTAAGCACAATAATATAACTTGAAATACAGCAGTTTGTTGAAAAGCTACCAAATGCTAACTGTTGGCAAGTAAACAGTGTGTTGCTATGGTAACTATGGTAACTGACTGCTCACGTTTCCAAATTAACAAAGATCATTTCATCAAATATATTGCCGTAGAGCAAAATCTACATATAGAAAAGTTATGAAGACCAGACATACAGTACATCCGCTGAGTAATTACACTTCCAAAACTAAAAGCCGTCAAATTGACTGCTGTGGGAGTTCTCGTGTTAAACCGGGACAATTACAAGACTATGTAGAAAAGCCTGGCCTGGATTAAAGACCCTATAATGATTCATTTGATTGGCATAACGTTTACATTACAACATTCAGGTCTGGATTCAAGACAGGATTATTTTTCATCCGGTGCAGCATATTGACGTTTCATCACCGCCAAGTCAAATACACACCATAATCAAAACCAAATCCCACTGTGTTTATTAAAACAATGCCAGCCTCTTTATTGTGGCTATTGCGCCGACTCAAACAACGCGCTCCAAGAACTTAAAACAATGATTTTTTTTTTTCCTCAAAAGCCACAAAAAGACTTAACCACAGCCCAGATTGTCATCGCTCAAAAGTCATTAATCAAATCCGGCTACAGCCATGAGTTCTGCACCGCCTTTCTGGACTCGGCTAAACGGTTCAGGAGGGTCTAGCTTTAAACCCGAGCCTTCCAGTGGGAAATGGGATCCAGATTGGGTGTAAGGGAGTCCTTTCTGAGGGACTTGATGAGCAAACGTGGAGGGCCGTGCAGCCGCTGTAGCCTTGAGGCCTGAGTAAAGCACAAACAGGTGGTGGTGGAGAAAGACCCACGCTGAGAGAAGAGGCAGAGTGCGAAGGAGACTGGGCCGGCTGCCTGCGATACACACACAGACACACACTTTAAACAGGACGCACAAACCACATGTGACACGCTGAGAAAAAAACAGAAATTATGCTTATTTGATTTAATGACAGGTTTTTTTTAGTTTTTGCTTGAATGTCATGTAAGCACGTTCCGAGTTTGTGACTTCCTGTTACTCACATGGCAATAAAAAGGATTCTGATGTAAGATTATTTTACTAGTTTAAACATAACAATAGAGAAAAAAGTCTCAGCAGTGAGTTTTTGATGCTTGTTTTTAGTATTTTTGTTTTATTTGCTCCACCGCTGCTGCTGTGACCTAAACTCTACCTGTCTATGTATATTTCTATCTATCTTTCTATCTATGTATCTATCTATCTATCTATCTATCTATGTATCTATCTATCTATCTATCTATCTATCTATCTATCTACTGTATCTATCTATCTATCTTTCTATCTATGTATCTATCTATCTATCTTTCTATCTATGTATCTATCTATCTATCTATCTACTGTATCTATCTATCTATCTATCTATCTCTCTATCTATCTATCTTTCTATCTCTCTATCTCTCTATCTCTCTATCTATCTACTGTATCTATCTATCTATCTCTCTATCTCTCTATCTACTGTATCTATCTATCTCTCTATCTATCTATCTACTGTACCTATCTATCTATCTAGCTCTCTATCTATCTCTCTATCTTTCTATCTCTCTATCTACATCCATCTGTCTACCTAACAATCTATCTATCTACCTAACTATTATCTATCTATCTATTTATATATGTCTCATGATTATGCTTTCAGTCCAAATGGCATATTTAAAAACAAAAAAGCAATATATTCATCTGAGTTTGTTCGTTAAAGATTATGGCAGATTTTCCCCAAATTTTCCAAAAAACAAGATTATATTTTAGATGTGCTCTGGATCATCAACCAGGAACGGAACTGTGCCTCTTGGCAGAGATCTGCATTGAGTGCTTTTCTAGCTGTAATCTATATGCAGATAAACTTGCCTTGGCACGTGGGGTGCTGTGTGTGCAAACGGATCAGTACCAGTGACGGCACAGATTGCAGATTTGACAGTTTTTATTGTTTTCTGGGTGATATTTTACTAAACCAAATAAAGAAGACTATTGTAATCTGGGGCTGCAGATGGAAACTACTTTTCAACCATAATGTGTCTATATATTTTCAATGTGTCTGTGTTTACATTGTATTCGGGGCGACAGAGAATCAGTGTCTTTGGACCTAATGGTCTTGGGATCGATCCCCTCACAGCCCATGTCATCTGCTCCCACTGTTGTTATGTCCCTGGGCAAGAGAGACTTATCTTAACTCATTGACTGCCAGCCATTTTTGATGATTTCACTGATTCTCAAGACTCACAGAATACTATGCACTATGACTATGTGAAGTATGAAACCAGATTTTATTTCAAATGTTGCTTCAGTCCTTTAGACTTTGCTATTGCCTAAAGGGTTTCGCAACATATTCATAGAACCATAGTTACATTAGGTAACTGGAGTTTCTGAAAGAGTGGATTGTCTAATTTCATCAGAGGAAAATAATTTTGTTTTAAACTGGTTTTGTTCTCCTGAAATCCCCAGTTGAAAAGAGGGAAGCTTGACAAAAATCACCAATCTCAGACTAATTCGTCAATGGCAGTCAATGAGTTAACCCCACTTTGCCTGAAGCCCCCGCTGTAATCCCAAGGCCACCTGTTGACCCACCACCTGCAGTTGGACCCCCGAGGGACTGTTGCTTTGAGCTTTGGGTGACAGCTCTGATTTCCACCTTCCTGGACCCAGAAGTGGAACAATGAAGAGGAAGAAAATGACTCTACTCTACTTCTACTAAAGTTAACTGTAATGCTGCAGAATTATCATAAAGTCAATCAGAAATGTTGCATCGTTCCCCTTTAACCCTTTGATGTATTCATCAACTATACACTATATCTATAACTTGAAGCTTGGATCTGAAATCTCCCTCATCGTTGCATTGCTATAATTTGGTTTTAGGCGCATATACATGAAACTGCCTCTTAATCATTTGGTAGAGGCTGTAATAAAAAACAAGAACTAGGGGATTAAAAAAAATACTTTGCTGTCTTCAAGGAGTGAACATTAAAGGGTTAAACTTGAACCGTTTTTTAGAAGACAAATGTTCCTTGCACCACTGGCTCTTCACAGATTCTCCCTCAACCTAAAACGCTCTGGTCTACCGCTAAAGCCAGCACCAATTAGGTCGCCTTTGCAAACCTGCAGAGGCCCAGTTGTTTCTCTTTTAAAGTCAGTGCATTGGAATCTGACTCTCCAAAGAAAGCAACAAGAAGGAAAATGACCTGCAGCGCCTCTAAAAGGTTCTGTGTGGTTTGGAAGTGGAGTGATCTGGAGCGGATTGTCTGACGCAAGTCCATTATTTTATCTAAATGGTTGAAGAGTAATGATATTCAACCACAGTCAAAGAATTACAAACCCTTTTCTGCCCGTGTTGAGATGAAAACTCTGTAAGGTCATGGCATGCTGCTCCCTGGTGGACACTGTACCTACTCAAAGTCGATTTGAATTGTGTTTTCAACTTATTAAGCCATACACACATTTTTGGATTGATTTAAAAAAAAAAAAATCTCTAGATTTAGTTGTCAACGGATGTCGAAGGATGTTTACCATTTGAGATTCATTATTAGCTTACAAATATTAGTAATATGTCATTGATATCTATTGGGTCTGTTTGAGTTTTACTTCCTGTCCGTGTGTATTTACACCCAGTGCCCGTGTCCTCTTGTTGTCAGTCCATTGTTGGTTTTTCTCCATTTCTTGTCCCTGGTTTTGTATTAAAATGTCTCGATGTGTTCATTGAATTATATTATTTTACCCTTCTGCTTTTGGGTTCTTTTGTTTTTCACCTTATGACAATTTAGGGACACAAATGCTTCTTTTGCTTTCTGCATAACATCAAATGAAGCTGAAGCGCAAATTCAGACTGAAAGACCGGCCACGGCTCTCACCCGTCCAGCCAGCCAATCACACAGCTCTACCAGCTTCGAGCCTCAGCCAATCACACAGCTCTGCCAGCCTCGAGCCTCAGCCAATCACAAGGCCCGGCCAGCCTCGAGCCAACCCACTGACAGCAAAGCGGGCAGTTTAAAAGCAGCCACTTCCTGAGGCTCTTAACACCCACTGCCTCCCCAGCACCTCCTCAGCTCCTGGCCTGGCTCCTGCTCTGGCTCCCGCTCTGGCTCCTGCCCTGGCTCCTGCTCTGGCTCCTGCTCTGGCTCCTGCTCTGGCTCCTGCTCTGGCTCCTGCTCTGCCTCCTGCTGTGGCTCCTGCTCTGGCTCCTGCCCTGGCTCCTGCTCTGGCTCCTGCCCTGGCTCCTGCCCTGGCTCCTGCTCTGGCTCCCGCTCTAGGCTCCTGCTCTGGCTCCCGTTCTGACTCCTGCTCTGGCTCCGGCCCTGGCTCCCGCTCTGGCTCCTACTCTGGCTTCTAGCCACCACCAGTGCTTGACCCCGGCGGGTCTGAGCTCATCTACAGCAGCAGACGATCTCCCCTCTGCAAGTGTCACTGCCGGGGTCAATGCGCCAAACAAATACATCTTTTTCATGCATTAATGTTTCTGTCTTGGTCTTTCCAGATTGAATAACTTCTGTGAGTGTTTGTCAGCATTGAAGACAATAATTCACATCATGGACACTTCACTGTATAATTCTTTGTTCCTAATTGGAGACATTTTCCTACATGACTTGTGGCTTGAATCTGCCTCCTGCTCCTGTGATCTACTGCTGTGTCAGACGACGTAAAAAGCGGACATAAAATGATAACGATTCTTCTGTGACATCCACCCCATACGTCTCCTTCAGATGTATCTCTTCAAAGTCCCTCCATAACAATCCTACATTTGTCCTTCACACTCTTTCTACTTTAGTTACACACACTGCGCCAGGGGCTCCTTGCAGACTCTCAGGCCCCACTCTGTTGACCCCTCCCTGATGTCCAGAACTGTACCGCTGGCCCCCTGAGCCACATCACAGCAGACATCGCCTTCGCCTCGTGGCATGTCGCACTTTTTACACGGCCTGCTGTTTTTGTTGTGAAAAGCTGTAAACTCCAGATGGCGTAAAGACAGGGGTAACTTTGCCTGCTCGGATTAAGGGCTTCCAAATCCTCCGCTCAAAAGGCACGGAGCTAAAGCTGCTATTCAATCAAATGGGAGCATAATGGCTGTCTAGTGGGGCTATATGAAGGATAATGCATCCAATAGACTATGTGTTATGCATAGTTTATTCACACTTTAACAGGCTGTAATGAGCGTAAGGGCTCCCAACACAAAAGCAGAACAAAAGGTCTGTTTAGTCATTAAAGCGGCTTGATATGATCCCAGTAACACATTTGAATGACTATAGCAGACCTCTATTCTCTCTGCGAAGGATGGATCTGGGGATAATGGAGTGGAAAACTTTTGTTCACTTAAACTACGGCAAATTTACCTCCTATTTTCATGACAGTGTCTCGGCATAATCATGTTTAACACGTAGACCAGGGGAGAACAAGTGGTCCCTTCAGTGCGATGCAGATGTGAATATATGAGCTCGGATAATAAGGAGGCGCTCAAAAACCTGTCGCTGTGACTTTTCTGTATTGTCTTTTAAAGCTTGGACAATGGGTCGCTGTGTTCTGACCGAAAACTGAGGCAATGTTGTACCTGCTGAAAAGATATTATTCTGCACTGCCACTTCATTACGCTAAAGTCAGAGATGTTATACTTAATTCTTGCTTCTTATTGTAGATTATATGTCATGTGGAAAAACGAAATAAACACAAAATACAGCACTGCAAACAAAATAAAACTGATAGATCGGAAAGTTACGAAATAAGGCTCGAGAACAAGAACTAAAACTGACAACGACAGAACAGGGAGTGAATGACTGCACAGGGTTTAAATCAGCCTGGCCGTACCACACCATAGTACTAATTACATTTCGTACTAAGGTTTGGATTTGCTCCATTGACTCCGTTAACAGGTGGGAGGGGTTAACTCCTTTTGCAGATTGAAACGATTGGATCTGAGTTTACCGTGATGTTTGTAATGTTGGAGTGAGTCGTTAGCATTTAGCATTTAGCCTAGCTTTAGCCATCTCCTTTGCCGCTAACAGAGCCCGTGGGGAGTAGCGCCACAATCTTTTCAGCAATTACATTTGCTAAACATTCCTCTTGCTCCGGCTTAAATTACTTGATAGAACCAGACCGGATTACTTTACTATCTCATTCTTCGCCAAACTACCCCCTTCCCGTTCAACGCAAACTCTTGACATCACCCACAACTACCTACAACACCCGCCTCCCGCGCTCTCTGATTGGTCGGATGGAATTCTACCGATGTAATCGCAATGTAATCGCAAACACAGGGACCAAACCCAGACGTTACATGCAGGAAATGATGACTGACCGTGGTGTACGGATGGATACAAATTACAAGATAAAACATGAAATAAACTAAACCATGAAATTATAGACTTCCATCCATCCATCCATCCATTTTCTACCCTTTAATCCATTTCTGGGTCAGGGGGGTGACAGTCAGAGATGCCACCCAAGTCTCATAGCACCAGCCCCTCACTGACCCTCTGCAGGTGGTGAGTCCACAGGAGGACGGCTGCTCTCTGAGTGTGAGCATAGCCTTGATCGTTCAGTGGGGGCTTTTTGGGCAAAGTGGGGTTAAGTGTCTTGCCCAAGGACACAACGACAGCAGTCATCAGTGGGAGTCGGTGGAGAAGGTGCAGAGGTGGGAATTGAACCCACGACCTTCTGGGCTTAAGGCCAATGCTCTACCAACTGAGCTACTGTCGCCCATTATAGACTTCCTTATTATGCAATAGGTAGAGATTATATTTTATTTAGTATAGAGTTCTTTAGTATTGAGTTTAGTATAGAGTTTAGTATAGAGTTTAGTATGGAGTTTAGTATAGAGTTTAGTATAAAGTTTGGTATGGAGTTTAGTATAGAGTTTAATATAGAGTTTAGTATGGAGTTTTTTAGTATAGAGTTTAGTATAGAGTTTAGTATGGAGTTTAGTATAGAGTTTAATATAGAGTTTAGTATGGAGTTTAGTATAGAGTTTAGTATGGAGTTTAGTATAGAGTTTAGTATAGAGTTTAGTATGGAGTTTAGTATAGAGTTTAGTATAGAGTTTAGTATAGAGTTTAATATAGAGTTTAGTATGGAGTTTTTTAGTATAGAGTTTAGTATAGAGTTTAGGGTGGAGTTTAGTATAGAGTTTAATATAGAGTTTAGTATGGAGTTTAGTATAGAGTTTAGTATGGAGTTTAGTATAGAGTTTAGTATAGAGTTTAGTATGGAGTTTAGTATAGAGTTTAGTATGGAGTTTAGTATAGAGTTTAGTATAGAGTTTAGTATGGAGTTTAGTATAGAGTTTAGTATAGAGTTTAGTATAGAGTTTAGTATAGAGTTTAGTATGGAGTTTAGTATAGAGTTTAGTATAGAGTTTAATATAGAGTTTAGTATGGAGTTTTTTAGTATAGAGTTTAGTATAGAGTTTAGTATAGAGTTTAGTATACAGTTTAGTATAGAGTTTAGTATGGAGTTTAGTATAGAGTTTAGTATGGACTTTAGTATAGAGTTTAGTATAGAGTTTAGTATAGAGTTTAGTATAGAGTTTAATATAGAGTTTAGTATGGAGTTTTTTAGTATAGAGTTTAGTATAGAGTTTAGTATGGAGTTTAGTATAGAGTTTAGTATAGAGTTTAGTATAGAGTTTAGTATGGAGTTTAGTATGGAGTTTAGTATAGAGTTTAGTATAGAGTTTAGTATAGAGTTTAGTATAGAGTTTAGTATGGAGTTTAGTATAGAGTTTAGTATAGAGTTTAATATAGAGTTTAGTATGGAGTTTTTTAGTATAGAGTTTAGTATAGAGTTTAGTATGGAGTTTAGTATAGAGTTTAGTATAGAGTTTAGTATAGAGTTTAGTATGGAGTTTAGTATAGAGTTTAGTATGGAGTTTAGTATAGAGTTTAGTATAGAGTTTAGTATGGAGTTTAGTATAGAGTTTAGTATAGAGTTTAATATAGAGTTTAGTATGGAGTTTTTTAGTATAGAGTTTAGTATAGAGTTTAGTATACAGTTTAGTATAGAGTTTAGTATGGAGTTTAGTATAGAGTTTAGTATAGAGTTTAGTATAGAGTTTAATATAGAGTTTAGTATAGAGTTTAGTATGGAGTTTAGTATGGAGTTCAGTATGGAGTTTAGTATAGAGTTTAGTATAGAGTTTAGTATACAGTTTAGTATAGCGTTTAGTATGGAGTTTAGTATACAGTTTAGTATAGAGTTTAGTATGGAGTTTTTTAGTATAGAGTTTAGTATAGAGTTTAGTATAGAGTTTAGTATAGAGTTTAATATAGAGTTTAGTATGGAGTTTTTTAGTATAGAGTTTAGTATGGAGTTTAGTATAGAGTTTAGTATAGAGTTTAGTATAGAGTTTAGTATAGAGTTTAGTATAGAGTTTAGTATGGAGCTCGTGCTGTGTGCTCCTCATTCCTGCTGTTCTGTAACTGGTGATGCAACACTGAAATGTACCCACTGTGGCATGAATAAAGGATATCTTAATCTTAATCTTAATCTTAATCTTACTAATGTGCATTCAGCTACATTATGCCAGAATCCACAGAAAACAACACGTCAGGCTCCTGGCATCATGACAACTGTGTCCCTCTCAACAGTGCACGCACCTGTCACACTGTCTTCACTCTTTTGTTGTTTGTGATGATGTGCGCTCACCGTGTGTGTTTCTGTGTGTGTGTTTGTGTGTGTGTGTGTGTTTGTGTTTGTGTGTGTGTAATTTCATGTTTTCACACATCCAACGTCTGCAACATGTCATTCACTACAGTATAGTCACTTTCCCTGCTGATATCGTAGCCATTGCTTGTTTTGCTCATATTCTCCGCTGAATACTTCTGAACCAAGTGCAATTGTAGCTCCAGAGTATCTTTTACTTCTTTCTATTTTGCCGTCATATTATTTTAATTCTATTGTCTATAATCTTAACTAAAATAGACTCTGTTTGAGGTGTGCAATCTGAGTACTCTTCTTTCTCAGCGGTAATGTGCACAACAATCACACTGAAATGTTCCCTCTGTGGGACGAATAACGGAATATCTTATCTTATTATATTCTGTAATTTTAATATTATGTGTGATGTTTTTAATATATTGTATGGCGTCCTTGCGTGTCTCGAAAGTGAAATAAAATTAATTATCATTATTAGCATATGTTTGATAAGTAACGCAAAAAAAAAATATTTGGAAGTAATATACACAGTCAGCAACCTTTGAACAGAAATACAGTAAAATATTATCCACATATAAGCAGCTTTTGAATATAAGCTTTAAGCCAATAAGCGATTGTTTTAAACCGGGCACTTTTGACTTTTTAGGATCAAAGCTTAAATAACACAATGATCTCTGAGGAAGCCATCGATGCCTCACGTTAGCACGCTTAGCTTAACTGTTAGCTTCCAGGTTGGGACTCTATTTTGACAATAAATGTAAATAAAAGCTACTAAAACTTCAAAATAACATGAATAATAAATAAATTCTTCTCTGAAAACTTCCCGAATCACTTCAAAACAAGTCCCGGTGTTGGCTCTCGCTGCTGTTCACATGAAAATAAACAGCTGATAGATCGGTGTCCACATTCTTTCCTGTCCTGGGGGATACTTTAAAAATACTCTCATTGGCTGCGTCGCTATATAGGCCGCAGGGTTCAAAGAAACAAGTAGCTGCTTTTGATTTTGGAAATGAAATGTTGCAATTGAAGTAAACAACAGCTTTTGGGGTCTGATTGTGGGCTCTGTCCTTGAGCACACACCTTCACGCAGGTGGACTGTTGTCATAAATTGAGCATGGCGCACATAATCCCCATCGCAGACACACTTCCACCCCCCGGAGCAAAGTCGTTATGACCCCACAGACTGCTGTATTGATCGCGGTTGTGTCGCCTACAGTCGGGGGCTACACATTGTTATTGAATCAGGAAGGGCATTTC